CAGCGTAGTTTCCGAGGCGCAAGCCCTTAACGGGTTAATCAACTATTGGGTTGTCCAGAAAATCCTGCGACACTTTGTCCAAGATTTTTGACTGTACCTTTCTTTGTTGAATGGGATATTCAATCAGCATGGGTATCACTGGTAGCACATAGGAGACGTGTCCTTTTTCTGAGCAACTTCTCAACCCTCTTACTTGAGAAATCCGGCGTTCGCTTCGAAAAGCAGTGCTTTATACAATTTTCGAGGTGACCTCGATCATTGAATTTTTCCTCTCCGAGGTAGCGCTCCAGTGTACTAATTACGCAACACTTAGAAACGACTGCGTCAGGTGAGTAAGCCAAGCACTGCAGAATTTCCCGATCAAAAACCAAGATTTCTTCATGTGACATCCTTCGCCACATACAGATATGGGTTAGCGTGGGGTAACACCGTATTGAGAATTTCTGCGTGATTTGACGCATGCCTTCGGCCAAATTCCGAAGGTTGTTGAAGCCGACAGCGGTCGTTACCCTGATGCAGGTGTCCAGCAGCTTTCTGTAGCGAATCAGTTTGCGACCTCAGCAGAAACACTAAAAAGTCATTCTTGACGAAGGCCTGCTTTTGTTTCTGCGGGCAGCTTTCCTCCTTGTCGAATTTAGTAGCGCTTATGTGTATAGTTTAGTCAAGGCCAGAGCTATCTTCATTAGCCTTCATTTTTGTGAAGAGATTCCTTTGATGCGAAAGAAGAAGAGAAATCTGAATCATGGTCACACGGCTCTCTCCCCAGACTGGCACAACTCATGTGGTGTCAATGGCGAACACACTGATCTGTAATCGAGGTCGTGCAGATTCTCGACAATTGTCAAATGAATGCACATCTGCGTTGCTGTTAACCTATACTGGTACCAACCAGCTGCGCCTCCTGGAAGTTGAGTAGACGCTGTTCAGTCATCATCTACTGCTGGGCCAATGGGACACCATGGCGTAGGGAATGACATCCCTTCTGACTACAGCACAGATGCTAGCTGCAAGGATACGAACAAAGTGGCTTTACAGGAGTTCGAAAAATAAAATCCTTCTATTTTATAAAGCGCTAACTTTGTGTGTCGGTTTGTATGTCTGTATGTGTGTGTAGTAATTATGTATGTATGTATGTTTGTGTCCGTCCGCAAAATGAAGTGAGTGAGAAGGAAGCTCATAGGATAAACAAACCGCTAACAGAATCATGTAGCTCACAGGACTTCGGCTATTAGTGTTTTGCAATGGCATGATTGTGATAGCATCCCAACGGCTATATAAACACGCACTTAGCACACTTTCGGTCATTCGACAAGGTGATGCTGTGGTAGCCGGCGAGCAGAGGGGAGCGAGGGGAGAGTAAGGAGAGGGGGAGAAGGGAAAGCTTACGCAAGGTAGGGAGGTTCCGGCGCTTGCCGGGGACCAATCTGTAATGTCAAAAGATGTGTTGATTCAGAGACAAGTTTGAAGCAGTTAAACGCTGCACGTGGCCTCTATTCACGCTTCTGTCGAAACATCCGAAGATATACTGCAGCAATCAAATACCAAAACTAATGGGAAGAGTTTTGATTTGTTCCTAAAGAACTTTGTTTAAAGTGTCGCAGGATTTTCTGGACAACCCAATAGTAATAAAAATAGGTCGGTGACTGCAATCAATCATTATGCTTTACGATCCTCAAATGAACTCTGTAGCAAGGAAGACAACAGAGAAGTTCAGCGCTGTGTTTGACTCAGTCTCTGCTACTGATAGAGTACTGAGCTAGTGGACCAATCGCAACGGCAAAGACGAAATGAGCTATAAACTCCAATCTCATACTGGGCCTGCGGTCATTTTTAATGAGCGCTCCTTGCATCCTAAATTGGGAGTGCCTCCGTACGTTGCTACCAGGGTATTGTAGAAGATACATGAGCGCAGCCGATGCACTAGCACACGCCGCCAGTATGGCAAGGACTGCTGCAAATGAAGTTTGATAGAAACTTTATGATCCGGGCGACCATGAGCGGGAAGCATGCCCGACCATATGGGGAAAATCCATTGTGGGACGGCAATAGCAGAGCCTTCCCTAATCGGTCACCAGTGGAAATGGGTCACGAGTCCACTGCGACAACACCATGGGGAACGTCTGATGGCTGCCTCGCAGCCAGGAACCACCAGCTCAACCAAAACCCGAACTCCGTTTTCTGAGAATATCGCTCTGGTTTTGCCTGATTCGCTAGGTGGCCTGGTTTGGAAACCACTTCAATGTATGAAGACAAGCATAGCTAAATTCAGCGCGGAATAGTTCCCTAGGCTAGCTTCGGGGTTGCGAGGGATCGTCAGAAACGTCTCAGATTCTCCTTTCTCCAAATGTACGCCAGACCTCACACCCCCATATAGCATTGGCATAGCTCTGTGGGACTATTGCCTCCCGTGCGCCCTGAATAAGCATCTGCCAGAGGAGAAAGTTAAAGATTCCGACCACGCCAAAAACGACTTCTTCAAAATCTTCAACCCCCAGTTTCCTTCATTATGGGCTGGAGGCTTCCAAACGCCCACTAGCAAATGCACGCATGTCAGTGATCATGATGGTGGTTATGTTATTGATCAGTTGTTTCCTGGAAGAGATAAAACTTGGACAAACAAAAGTGTCGAATAATGAGACAACCCAATAGAACGCATGGCGCATCTCGAAAGGGACTCGTTCGCGGAAAATGGTTTACCCTTCTTATTCTATTGTAATAGGTTTTTTGAATTAACTGTGTTGTTCCAGGTTCTGGATCGTCTGTTGCTTTATCTAAAGGAGCGCAAACATCGCTGTTTGATTTTCAGTCAATTTGTCATTTTCCTCGACATTGTACAGGATTTTATGAATTTAAGAGGTAGGCTTCTTTGAATCCTTGGATTGTCATTTCTCATAGTCATAATGGTTTGTTCCAGGCTATAATTACGAACGCATTGATGGCAATGTTCGTGCCGAGGAGCGCTACGCAGCGATAAATAAGTTTCAAGACGCGGCAAAGAAAAATCGAAAGAGAGGGCGGCGGTCTGATGACGGTACATTGAACCTGTACTTTTCTGTTCTTCTCTTATTTAAAGCTTCCTTTTCTTTTCTTTGCTGTTAAATTAGTTAAGGGGTCAAGCATTCCAGGTCCATGGTGTTTCTTGTTGACTACGAGGAGCGGCGGAGTTGGTCTTAATCTCACTGGTGCGGACACTGTGATATTTTTGGATGCTGATTGGTATCCTCAAAATGACATACAGGCAATGGCCCGCTGTCATCGGATTGGACAGAACAAGTGCGTTCTGTTTTGTAATTTCAGATTTTCCGAGATCACTCTCCCCAAAGTGACAACTTAGTCGTTCAATAGCAATGAAAATAGTTCTAAAGGCGTAGTACACCCCGGTGCACAATAGATTGCACCCTATAAAAAACTTAGTTTTTGAGAGAGGCCGAAACTTTCATTGATTCTGCTGTTGATATATTTCCTGGGGAAGTAGATAAATAATGTTGACACAATATTCAGTTAGGCACACTGTCTTTGAAAATTTTCAGAGTGAAATATTGATTTTTTTGGCGGTGCACAATAGATTGGCGACGATGAGATATTCCATTTTTCCGACTTTTTTGCCTGTTTTTTTAAGTTTGCATGTACTCACGTATTATGTGAAGTATACGCGTTTCACAAACGAAGACTGGATTCGAAGTGAAGCGTAACTTCTGTTGACAGGGTGATCTCCAAATCTCTAAGGAACCCTTCATTCCCAGGAGTACAGTTGCAACTGTGATCAAGAATCATTCTCAAACTGTTCTTAAGACAAAGTGGTACAGAAGTCAGTTGTTCCTGAGAGCGGCAGGCGCTGTCTGATTAATTTGGCATTGAGTTCCGCAAAGGTTGCCTATGAATCGGTTGTCGCTTGGCGGATTGTCGTTTTGAAAAGGACCGTGTCTCGTATGTTGAAAATATCGGACCACATAATTCGACAAAAAATAAAGCCGACACTACGCCTGACTCAATATCGTCGACATGAGCGCTCCCTCTTGCGAAGATTGAGAGTAACAGAAATTGGGCAGCGGAGTGTTCTGGGCACACTTCCACTTTTATACTGAATTTAATATCTCATTTCTATTTTCCCTACGGTAATTTCTTTCGATGACATTTTGGTCGGCGGAGATGAGTCGTGCTAACGGCACCCAAACTGGCGCTCTTGCAGAAGTAAACCACTAAACAATCGCTGCCTTCTCCTCAATGGTTTGGTGGGCATCCTCTAGTGATGGTAGCCTTGAGATTCATTTTGATTCTTGTGAATGAGAAGCCAGAACTATCAGTCACTCCTCAACAACACGTTGGTACCATTCGTTTCTTGAGACTTCGACAAACACTTCATCTTCGTGCAAAAGAACGCTTCAACCACACTCCGTGAAGCACTCTGTCCCACTTTCAATCTAACAACAACCCATTATTCGCATCGCCGGTATGTAATTCTGATACAAACCCTATCGGGAATACATGGGGCATACTGACGCGTAAGATGGGAAAGCGTATGACAATGTTCAGCCGCTAAGAAATACCATTACGAAGGAGTGGAAAACTCTACCGCCTCTGCTGCATAGAATGCGCTGATTCAAAATCTGATTTCAGTCCCAAGCTCACTGAGAAGAAGGAACGCTGCCTCATACTTAGGTGGGAGGAGCAGACTTTAGTCTTGTTTTATGAACCACAATACATATCGTCCAATCTATTATGCACCGCCTCAAAAAGTGAAAAATTGTTGTCACAAACTTTAAAAAAGTCGTAATGTAAATAAGTATTACAGGTATTATTCCTTCGTCTATTTCCAAACTATAGTATAGGCAGAAGCAACAAAAGTTTCGGCTCTCAAGAAAATTAGGTTTTCTACGGGGTGCAATCTATTGTGCACCGCGGTGTATAAGAATTAAGAACTGCCGTCAGTAATTTTTGTACTCATCTTCAGAACAGTACGCGTAATACGTTTGATTGGCCGGTATACTGTCGAACAACACATGAATGCTCGTATACGCGATAAGCTTAAGTTCACCGATGGAGTTATGGGTAAGAAGGTGAGTGGCTCCTTTACTGGATGATCATTAAATAAAAGGCACGCCTACTTGGCTCCCTTTTTTAATGTTTTTCTTATTTCTCATAATTTTTCTTACAGAAGTTAAGTTGACTGCATTCGACATGATGGCAATGATTAAACAGTGTTTAAAGTACACTAAGGAGCAAAAGAACGAAAGTTACAAATTGGTAAGGACTCTTAGAACTTCCCATCTTGTCAACGCAAAGCGGAGCATTGATATTTGGAGGGGGGGGCAGTATTTGCCTATTGGTGGTTGATGAGTGCGTTTGTTTCAAGGACACATTCCACAGTGAGATCATAGGTGCCACTTTTCCGCAAGGGCTGATAATTCCGCAGTCGCGAGATAGAGCCACTTTTGCAATGGAAAAGCGTTAGGTGCTCAAGATTGGATCAGCGCGTGCTCATCGTTGCGACATCTGTGTCTCACTTCCTACGCCCTCTCTCTGTCGTCCTCTTGACTCACAGTGTCTCTAAAGTAGTCTATAGGCCCACTATTAGGAAAAGAAGGGCCTAATTGAAAGCGTTCCAGTGGTTGTTGTTCATGGTTGTTGTTCCATTTTTTCAATTTGAAGAATAATTACCAGGCACAGTCTCTAATTTCAACCTCAACATCTCGTTAACGTGTTACTGATATCTTCTGTTTCTCTTTATGTCTGCATCCCTATCTCCATTTTCGTTGAATTTGTATGGGTTATAATCATGTATTCGCCTTGCAGACGGATCAAGATCTCGAAAGTGTCATCGGGCAAACAAGCGCGTCTGGTGAATGGCTACCGATCAAAGGGATAAAGAGAACAATTTTTGAGAAATTTCTGCATCTGTAATATTATTTTATTCTATTTTTGATTTTACGTGTAAAGATTAATTTTACGGTATGGCTTAGATTCCGGCAGCGCTACGATTGGATCCAGACGAGGTAGACAAGCGTGACACGGACTGCAACGACTATCGGTGTTTTCAAGGGCGTCAGTTCCGCGTTTCGGCAAAGGATGAAGCTGCTTTTGAGCAACTCCGACTTTTGAAATTAGCGGCACAACCAGGCGCACAAAGCGGAGTCGTGTTGTGATCGTAAGTCCAGCTACTAGATTCCATGGTTATTCCACAAGCTCCGAATCTGATTTTCGTTTTTATTGTTGTGCGATTTCATTCTTGTTATTGCAGATTATTCTGAGAATGAAGAGGGGAAAAATGAAGAGATGACAGAGAATTAAAGGTAAAGCATTTTCGTGTGCTCGAACCACCTACAAAGTTTCCCATTTTTTACTGTGTGTGTTTTCAGAAGGCAGAGCAAGAACGTGCTATTGCAGCTGAAAAACGTAGAAAAGCAGCTGACGAGAAGAAGAAAGCGACATGGAATGCAAATGGTGAGAACATGAACCGCCCTCTTGTTGCAAACGCCACGCCTCGAATATTCGAAGCTTCTTCTTTACTTCAGCGGCCCAACGCTTGAAATCTTTCCAACAAATCCAGGTCTCCCCTCACCTACACTTTATCCCCTCCCAAGGAAATACCCTCAATTCACAGCTACATCAGAGCACTGTGGGCGATGATGGTGATGTTGAAGTTCTATACGAATTTAGTCCGCCTTGCAAAGCAAATAACAGTTTCCATCGCTCTGTGAAGTCTCCGAAACCTGCTTTAGCCCCAGCAAACAACGTTGTAGAGCCAGAGTGATCATTTTAGACTGATTAAGTTAAGCATAGCCTAAATCCTCAAGTGCATGCTTTTGCATGTTTTTTTTTGTAAATTGCTTGTCATCAAAAGTTGAGTGTTTATTGAGTTAGTCTGTTGTCTAAGTTGTGCAGTAGTTAGACGTGCACAATAGCGGTGTGGTGTGACCATGATGCCAGAGTCAACCCTGCGTTGCGCAGTTCGCAACGGCACGTTGAGAGATCCTCAACGCACGCTGTATGGGCGGAGACACAGACGGCTCGAGCATGCGAGTTGTGAATGTTCGCGCGAGAGAACGTGTCTAATCGGGCGAAACTGCGCAACGTGGCCGTTGAAAACTGCGCAACGCAGGGTTGACTCTGCATGATGCAACCGATTAATTGGTAGTGTTGACATTCCTTAGGCTCACGATCGCTCAGATTTTTTAGTGGTTGGGAAGTCAGGGGTCATAACTTTTGGAGGCTAAGTTAATGGATGCTTCAGTTATTGTCACACTTTTATGTACATATTCTGATGTACTGTCATGTACTTTGTACACTGACGAATTGAATCCCGGTTTTTGAAGAACTCATCTTTAAATGCAGTGTTCACGTTAAAGTGATCCGAATCTCCATTCCTTCAAGCTTGTTATAGGTTATTTTTGTACATCTTCTTTGCCAGTATCATTCGCAGGAACACTCTCTGTGGTCCTGCGCCTCAAAATCAGCGTTAGTTGGTCAGAGCTGTTCAGAGCCAATTTGCTGCTCTTATCTGGCTGCCTTACCTAAACATTTTTCTGTTACGGCTGTGGTCTCGACATTCCAACTTTTCACACATTACTTGGTACCGGCTACCCGTCCACTACCCTATCCTGAAAATCCTATCCTCGATTTGTTCATTAATTGTTTCGTAATATACGAAGCTTCCCAATATTTGTGTGAGAATAATCTTACTCTGTGGGAATTTCGCTCTTATCAGAGATTAGACAGGAGTCCCAGAAATCATTCACGGAAAATTCCTGCCTTCTCATCCAACATGAATACGTCATTTGTGATCGCTAGAGACAATATAACAAGTTTAAGGCAAGAAGGTTGTTTTTAAAGAGAAACAATCCAAAAGACCACACTCCAGGGAAGGTCACGGGTAGGTCGGGCGGAGACAGGGGAAAGCATGGGAAGAAGCGCACTTCGGGGCGCCCACCTAATAGGCGACGTTTCGAAAGAATCAAATCATAGCATCCGAATTGCAACATTAGAGACAAAACGTTCTAAGGAATAGGATTCAGTAGAAAAGAGAATCGCCATTGGTGGAAAGGACTAAAGTGTTTTCCTGGAAGGCAGCCTGAGAAACAAACGTAGTCTTTCCAGTAGTCAAAATTTGTGACAAAGGTACGAAAGAAACGATGAACGGTACAGGTGAAAGGCATTCGGTAACGTTGAATGGGTAGCGGTCCTTCCCCATTTTCAAGTTGTTCACCAAAACAAAACATTTTTTTCTTGTCTTTTCGTTCCTCTCGTGAATGATGTGTCTCAAGCCAGTGATTTACAGGCGAGATAGAATCAATGTAACCACAAAGATAAAATTGAGGGGGGGGGGTTGAGGGAAGGGTTCTGAGAGTGAGCCCACTATCGTATGTGAAAAGTCGCGAATTCTCAGAAAACCACCTAGGCAAGGGAGCGCAAACGAGCGAAAATTGACGCTGTTCGAACCTTTCAAATTCGAAACTCTACTAGCCCCTCCCTTTTGATTCGGGCAATGCAAAAGAGCGTCTGTATGTGACGGCTCTGGCACCATTTTGTATTGATTTTTAACATAATGGATTGTTTAGAAAGTAGCTGCATTTTACATTCCTTTTTCGAATGGTATTACATTTGCGTCAAATTTGAAGCTCCAGGGAATGTTCGTCCATTCGCCGTCACAACCAATTTGCTGTAATCTGGAAATCGTGAATTCTTACTATTTCCAACCCTGCCTTGATCATATCACATCAAAGTGAATACTCGTATTTTTTGACAAATTTGTCATTTCACTTTATCGTGAACATTGCCTTTAGTGTGAACAAACGCATTCTTAATCACTAATCATTGATCGTAATCATTTTATCATATCGAAGCTGTGTCATAATGCAAAACAGTACTACCTCGTGTATTCCTTTAACGACCTGGTGTTACTGATCTCTCACATCAATTCAGGATATGTTGAATTTGCTTTATTCACTTAACGTTGTAAATTCTCTAACAGGGGAATCGGCCTGAGCTTTATCGAATAGCTGCTTTATTTTCGATATGCATCTCATGTGAAAGCATGTTAATCTCAGAGCTCGAGTTGTTTTTCGTTTTGTAAATAGTATGAAGATGCCTAGCTATCCCTGTGTTGTTCTTGAGGAGTGCTACCACATTGCTGATGAATCACAGGTGAAGTTCGAGTGTCGTCTGTTTCTCAGCATTCTTGTGGTGGTCTAGTTTAGTAGTAGTTATGTGAGTGTTTGGTCATTAGTCCCTCATCGAATAGTAGTGAATAAATTTCCTGCTTGCTCGTATATCGATGTGGTCAGTGTGTGTAGGTTGAAATGTTATAATCAGGCCGAAAACGGTCTGGTCTGCCCCATCGAACAAACATTTCAACGGCATGGAACAGGGTGAGCCAAATGTCAAGAAAATGTTGGAAACAAAGCCCTGGTTCCTTGCCTTCTCACCACCGTTCCGTGCACTCTCCGCCTGTTAGCGCATTTTGGTAGCAGATCTTTCGGTTTCGCCAGCAAAGAAACTCCGAAGCGAAGCCGGTCAAAGGGGGGATGAAGGGTACATATCAGTCATAATAGCATATTTCTACTATTCCTGGCTTCCATTCGCTGGCGCAACGCTCGGATCCAGCGATTCGCAAACTCTGACATCGGCCTTAGAAAAACCACACTAACTATAATATCGTCAAGACACTTAGGTAAACGTGGACAAGTTCATTAGTAAGAAAAGTGGAACCACCTATTTTTGCTTGTTTTATCTCGTTCTCATGGTCACACCTATCGCAATTAGGGAGATTTAGAGCTCGCCTTCATGTGGTTCCAGTATCAAAAACACTGAAAAGGTCACGCGATGGTGATTTTCCTTGTTGGGCTATCGCATCTAGGGCCTTGTGAGGTGCCTATCTTCGGAAAAATTACGAGCCAGTTGATGACCGCTTTATACCTAGCATTTGACTAACTAATATTATAATAATTATCACTGATAGGAGTGGTAGCAGTGCAGCATTACTGAGTTCTAGACAAATCAGTGTGCGCATAAAGACACTTTCTGCGATTGAACATCTATAAGTTATTGCGTCCGCAAGTGGAAGCAGTTGTGGCGGCTGCCCACAAGTGATGAGAGAAAGCACAGGAAAATTGTTAAATCGGAGTATCGCACTGTGATTTTAGAGATTCCAAGCATTTTGTGCCTCTTCTCATTACTGGCTGAACCAATATCTATTGTACGCAAATTTCTGGGCACGGTAATCCCACCTCCTTTTTTTGCTGGAGTGCCTTCGATCGGACTTGCCTTTGATGTTTTCTTGGTTGAATGCTTGCAGTATCCAGGAAAATCAAGGGAATGGTTTCAATAATTGCTGCAATGATTGTAGCGTAGGTATCTATATAAAACTGAAAGGATAAACGCGGATGAAGTCCAACCATCAAAAAATGTAGACGTGGAATGAACCCAGTTTTGCTTGTCACACCCATAAAGGGGGGGGGGGGTTGTATTAAAAAGTCATTTTCCCTTTAATTTAAAACGAGTTTATCACATTTCACTATCTCAAACTGAATGTCTCTAACTGAAACTTTAGAGTACATTTCAATGTATTAGAAAATTCATAGCGGCCTTCTGCTTGGGCGATCTGAGATGAATTCGTCACGAGAACATGGTGCAGCCTCGAGTTCGTCCAGATCCTTGATGTATAGTGGACCCCTAAGATGTTTGGAAACCTTGTTAGGCCTCTAGGGAGCCACCCAACTGTAAACTGATTGAAGAATTTTCGTAGCAACTTCATGTTGGAGCAATTGCGATAGGCCTGTTTGAGTTTGGCGACGACGACGAATGACGTCATTATTTGAAGACGGTGAGGGTAGTGAAGGGGTACCTGCTTCTGCTTTTATGGGGATATTTAATAGGGACATAGGGATATTTTGCCTTGAAAACTTCTACCAACGACGGCTGTCTGGGCAAAACTCGCTGATGCGGGACATAGTCCGAGTGTTTTCTCCCTTTACCCAACACCTGTATAAGTGAATATGTTGATAAATGTCCCGTGTCTCAGGTTTTGGACCGTTCTCCTTGTTTCTTCTCAACTACCGCACCTCCTAGCAACTCTACCTTCATTTGCGTGTGACCATTTCATCATACCGGCCTTGAGGAGGTTGTTGTTTCTCTACTTATTCTCCTACCACAATGACAGAAGTGTGTAGTAGTGGCATGTTTAGAGGGCGCGGTCCGGGGATCAAATCCTGGGTCATGCGTGGTCCGGAACCAAGCCTTCCATCCGTCCGAGATCGGCTAATCGGTACCAGACATGTCTGGGAGGATGTAAAACACTGAGCATATCCTGGCCCGCATTGTCTTTGTATATACCAAATCGCATCCAACTGGCCACTACGATTCTGGATGGAAGCAGGCTGCGTGGCGCATCACTAAACCGGATTGATCAACGCTGAATGCATTATGCTTTATCCTCCTACCATTATCCTTCCACTGTCCTATTTCTTACAGAATCGCTCGTTTTATCTTTTTCTTGTGCTTTTCTGCTCACTGAGATCAATCTTTATCTTGATACTTCTTGGTATCGAATACTAATGCCTAATTGTAAGAATGATATCTTTTTTCGTAGGTTACGAATCGAAAAATTTACCGCTGCCCTCTGTGGACGATCAGAGCGACGAACTTGAAGATGTGGTCGAGGTGAGAATTGCTGCCTATTGCTTGACTTCAGTTGATTGGTTACCAGTTTGATTCCACACCAGTAACAGTGCGTATACGGCGCTCATCCCACCATTGCCTATTTCGGCGCACGTCCCACCCACCAAGGCCCACGGTGGGCACTCATTCTTCTTTCTTTGAGTAACTCCTTCTCTCTACTCTCTTTTTTCCTAACCTCCAACTATCTTTTTTAGGCTTAATATTTCGGATATTTCGGATTTTAGCTCAGTGCCCCGTGAATTTTCATCCTCCGCCCATTTTGCTATACTCCGTCCTTTTTTTCACGATTATATCAAAATTTCGTTGTGGATTTTCTTGATTTCAGCCCGTTCCGCTCTATTCAAGGAGAATTTCATGATAAGGTCGAAAGTCGAAGAGGGGGAAACTCATCCAGGCAAACCTTCTCAGAGTCCGAATCGACGCGCAACGAAGGATATGCCCCGGCGACCTAGCTTAACCTTTCCAGCGGTGCTACCGGTGCAGTACTCACCGATTGGCTAACCACTGGCTGCAGGTCTCTAGCCATTCAGCAGAGAAGCGTTAGCGTTGGAGAGGGCAGCAGAGATGAGGGTGACGTCATATGGTAATCCACGGTCCGAGAAGGAGTCCCCTCTTGGAATCTGGGCCCTTTCTCATGGTTTTTTCCTCATCTCGGACCACTCACCTTCTCTACCCTCACCATAGCAAATGAGCTACCTTTTGATTGCACTGCGCTTCTGAGTATTTTATGGATTTTCATAGTAATCTTTATGAAACACTTCTTTTTAGGAATGTAGTAATCTGTTCTATGTACACGGTGATGTGACAAAGCCACAGAGAAGTGATGAGGATAGGACTACCCAGTGCTTAATTTTGCACTGTGTGGACAACAGCGGTATGTTTCGCGCATTCTTATGAAAACGAGAGTTGTAAGGAGCAGTACATCCACTGCCTGTAAAACATTTCTATTGTAGGAAAATTTGGCAATGGCGGTATTTTCTCGGCTCTACGTGCCAAGGATCCTGAAATTGCGGAACGATACGAGCTAATCTCACGAATGGGAGACATGAAAATGGGTGACTGTCATTTGGTGGAGGATGTGAAAGAACTTAGAGGTAATATTTGAAATTTGTGACCATCTTATTTCTGTTCCACCGATGGATACCCACGCATTCAGGAAGTGCTGATGGCGATAATGGGCAGCCTTCGACGTCTTCAGGGTGGAAAGAGAGTGTGGTGCTCTTTGTTGCGTTGAGTAGTAAGAATAGGGGTGAGTTCGATGCCGCTGTCTTGCATGTTGTTGATTCGCGCGTAGATCCTTCTATATTTTAGTAGGTAAAACTCTAGTTTGGGGGGGAGAGGGAATGCACTACTCGCTATCTTATCCGTTATACTAGAGAGCACTCCTTTAGATTTCAGCCCTATGAATAAGATAATGGCTAAACGACTCATTTCAAGTGCATTTTTGATAAGGACCGGTGTATGCCCCACCTCGCGCACATCCTGCTCACATCCTAGGCAATTTTCGGCATGTGATTGTCCATCCTGGACTCCTACACCTTTGCGCTTAGAAAAGGATGTCCATACCCTCGAAACCAGATTCTGAAAGTACCTCAGGAGTGCTTCCACACTACACCAGCCCTTATCAGAAGTAATTCCAAGTGAATCGATTACGTGTCATGAGAACTCTCATCCTCATCCTTAGTAATGGAGAGCACAGTGGAGCACCCCCCTCCAAACTGGAGTTGCACCATTCTAGTGAGTCTTGTAACCTTTTATTTTTGCAGACCAACTTCGACCGGCTCTGTTGGAGCAGTGCTTTGCTCGAATCGGAGATTATGCACGAAATAATGATTCCAGTGTGCATATGGCACGTATTGGTTACGGTAAGTACTCCTCTAAGAATGTTCCAGAAATCGATTCCGCGTTAAATATCAAAGAAATATTTCCAGGTACTTCGCTAAGTTGGTACACAGTGGAGAGACTTCTCAAAAAATGCATCACAAATCATGGTGTCCCGACGTATATCTACTACTTTGCTCGTCGTCAACGACTGGATCCACCACGATCTCCTCAGCAGGCTGCTGCTAGCCCTAGTAAGTTGTTCCACCCTGTGCTGTGAAGTTAGTAATTCTAGAGTAGACACCCTCCCCTCCCCCTCCCCCCGCTCCTGAGAATGTCTCCTACGCGACCCCATCCTCGTGAAACAGGCAACATTCACACATTTTGTCAATTTCATCCATTTTTCCTAAACTAAAAAAGCCCATTCCTTCACACCAACCCTGCCTAAACACTAAAAATTGTTGCAACTACAGATCTTCCTCGTTGCTGCCCAGCTGGCTAATTGCCATCAGCCGGTTGACCCTCGTTCCGCCTTCATTGGAAGTTAAGCTATTTCAGATTCAGTCCTCCAAAGAATATTACTCATATTCAGGTAAACGTCCGAATCACTCGCCGAGAAATCGCAATAAAAGGCCTAAGATCGATCAACAGAGTGATATTGGCTCAGAGGACGATGAGGAAGAAGAGGAAGAAGATAACAGCAGCAGTGCTTCGAGCAGTGCCTCTGAGCACGACTGGAGTGAAGGCGATGAAGGTGGTGTCTTCACTAATCTGGCGACTATTCTCCTTTACCTTATTATTTATTGAACCAGAAGGAACGATGGAATTGATTGCTTGAGCAGGGTCAAGCGAGGCGTCGAGGAAAACTTTGAAATGCGACCCCTTCTGCCCCATGCCTAAGCGACAAAAGTTCTCGAAACGACTCTCTCACGAGCCAAACTGTGAGAGAGTTGTTCAACCTTCTCCGAAAACCTTTCGCCAAAAACTCAACTCTGGTTTTTCATGAGACCACCCTTCATCATACAAGTCATTCACAAGTAGAAAAAGTCAAAGAATGGCGATTTACAATGAATCCTACAAAAAAAGGTGTAGAAAACGATGAATCAGCCAGCTGAATGATCTTATGCATTGACCTTGTAGCAACTTACCTACTACGTTGAAATTTGAACACATATTGAAGTGACTATAAGTTGAGGTTTTACATTCTGAGCCGGTAGCATGCATGTTAGGCTGACAAAAAAATGTTGACATCCCTAGATCGGTGACACAATTAACATCAGGTAGCTCGCTAGTTGTTAACCTGTGTAGCCTCCTGGTCAGTCGAGGTTTATAGCTTTTATTTGTTCTGTTTTGTTTCCTAGTCGACATTCTTTGACTATAGGAAAGTTGTAGCTCGTTTGCCTGTTAGTTTAAACAGTGATTGTTTTCTTATTGTGTGCCTCTCGCACCGTAACAATCATAAAATAGTAGTTTATCAAGGGCTAAGGGTAAAGCTACAGTCCAGAATAAAATTGTGGGGCCATGGCGGTTGATAATGGAGCTGTGGATGCCGTGTCTATAAATGAAGAAGAAGCAAGAAAAACCATTGATGAAGCCAGAAACAAGTGTTCCCTCTCTTACTCCCTGAAATAAGGAAGGAGCGAGAGCGGACGGGTTTTAGGGACTTGCTTGCTCCACGGCTCCACTTGTAGAGGGGTGGTGTGCGTGCAGAAATGAAGAATGAGGAAGTGATGGAAGAGTGATAAAATTATAGAGGAAGAGGTTATCTATTAGATTGGTTACTTTGAAATGTCGCTTCCTTTAGTGGCTTTGCTTCTCAGCTGGAACTCAACCTCGTAATATGGGAGACCATCCATTCGAGAGAAATACTTGGGATGGTAAGAAAAGCCGATTTTTCGAAAGCTTCAGAACTTTCGCTTATTGATCGATACCTAGAATCTGATGCGTGATAGACTATCGCTGTCAATCATACTTCTCCGCAGTAGGTATATATAGCTGGGTTGCCTTCTTTAGCTTTAATCATGATGTCGATTCCACAAGAGCACTTTTGAGCGATCATCTTCAATGAATGGCGCTGCGGCACAGAAGCAGTGTAAACCGTCGACATTATCAGCATCGCACTGAGAAGGGACACCACTTCCATCACCGGTGCCAAGCTCTGCTTCGCAGGCTTCGAAGGAGGAGTCATGGCTTCCGAAGACAAGACAAGGTTGGAAAGCCCCAAAACGGTGGAAGAGTTCACCGTTCTCGGCGCTGTCGAAGAGTCTCTGGAGATATCACCCGCAGCCCTGTGATAAGACTCGGGTGCACCCATCCCACAGTCCTCGGTCCCCCTCCACGCCCTCGCCACAGAGAAGTGCCGACTCGAAAGATCCCCCATGTCTTGACCGATAGCACGCGGTTCAGGCGGGTACCCTTTTGTCCGTTTCTCCTTCTTCCGCAACAAAAGGAGTTTTGAAAGACATGATTATGGGAGATGAGAGTTGGGTCCTCTACGATTCTAACAAGCACAGTGCCGTGTGGCTCCCTCCAGGAGAAGACCCGCCCACACAGGCAAAATTGGACCTTCTCCCCAAATACTGTTTCCCTTGCTGGCTCTGGGATTCGCGTGGAATGTTGTATTATGAGGTGCTCCCGCTAGAGATACCGTTACCGGCAGCATTTACGCCAGTCAGCTCCAGAAACTAGCGAACGCTGTTCAGAAAAACGACCGAGACGAACTTCTGTCCACCTACTCCATGATGACGCCAGGCCTCACATGGCCAAAGAGACCCGTGCAAAATTGGATGAGCTGATCTGAGACGCGATTGCCCACCCTCCCTATTCCCCTGACATTGCCCTCTCTGATTATCACTTACTTCATTTCCTCAAGGCATTCATAGCGAAGAAAAAATACACCAAAGTTGAAGACGTTGAAAGAGCGGTCAGCGATTTCTTTGACTCTCAGTCTGCTCAGTTCTGGGAGAAGGGGGTCGCTGACCTGCTCATCAGGTGGAACTCTGTAGTGAGTAGCAGTGATGATTATATTGTTTAGTAAATTCCATTGTACGCGTAATAAAAAATAAAGCACAAAAAAGTGTCAAACGGCTCAGGACTTTTTACCATCCTAATATTCAGTGCGCATATTGCGAAACCTTAGCCGTCAGCGAGCGGATGTTCTTCGAGCCAAAACTTTTGCTCGAATATGATTGATCAGAAAACATCGCCTGAGCGTGTATATTCAAGCAAGGAAAAACAGCCAACGAATCTCACTGATTACGAGCAAAACGTTGAGCAGAAAAACTCAGTCTCTGGTGCACTTTCAGCTTTGGTTTCAGCTCTTCCAAGACTGAAGTAAAGGAGCTGATGGCGATGGTCGTGGATTCTGACCTCTAGCTCCAGATGAAGGGGAAATAAGGAAAGCCAACGTATTGAGTCCTCGACATACCGCACAGAACTTGCACGGAGATTCAGTTGTGTCAACAGAAAAATTTGAAAGCTCCTACGTGCGACTGTTAGGGCCTTTCAGGAAAGAAAATGGGTTCGGCCTATCCTGAGCGACACGAGCAAGCAGTATTGGTTGCCAGTACTCGAACTCTGCTGCATAACTCCGAGAGGAAGAAGGTTCCTCACTTCGTTGAAAGCGTGTTTTACAGAAGGATGCTCCCCGATGACAAAGTGAGAAGATGGCTGTGGTTGGCAACAGATGGGCAGCTGAGGGCCTCTCCGAAACCAGACAGCCACAGAAGAAATTCCTGCTACGGTGTGGTGAAGCAGTATAAGAATGGTTCACTATGGAGAGCTGATTGCGCGTCATACAGTTACAGCTAAACCCTGCGCACAACACCTTGCAGGCGAGGATCGGGCTCTGCGTAGTCAAAGGGCAAAGTCGGTCGTTGAAAAATTTTGGCACGATAATGCAAGATCACATATCGCGAAAATTTTGCAACAAGAAATCGAGGAGTTGGGCTGGGTCGCTCTGCCTCTCGTGCCATATAGCTCAGACCTGGCACCGTCCAACAATAACTGAACTAGACCTACACAGCACCCCTCAGCAGCAAATAAAATCAATGACCGCGACGACGTCAAAATTTGAGTACCTAACTTCTTCGAGTAGTACCTGGAGGAGTTCTACAAGGTAGACCTCCATGCTCTGCATAACAAAAGGTGGAGAGTGGATGACGCAGATTAAGGGAATAAATTAGGTTGATAAGCTTTGGTATAGCTTTTATACTTAAAATAATCTTTGATTAACCCATTCGTGACAACGTCAGCCACCGGTGGCTGACAAAGATCTCACTCGAGTGATGGCATCCACCGTAGGCTACCGCGTTTCGAATGGGATTTGGAACATTCTCTTCCATGAAAATAATCCTTGTACCCTCATTCATCTACGTCAGCCCTGGGTAGAGGAAATCTCCATCCACTCAAATTTTATTGAAAAAAAATTTTCCGACTGTACTGCATTGCAGCAATTCCAGCGCGGTCTCTCCGAATGGGTTTAACACGACATTCAAAGTTACCAACCTAATAAAGAGGTACAATTGCCGTGAGCAACTAAATTATTCCCTAACCCTCGTCTTCTGTACACACACACACACAATTGTTCCTAAACCCTCGTCTTCTGCACACACACACAACACACACACCAAACACACACACCCACACACACCAACACACACACACACGCACAACACGCAACACAACACCACGCACACACACACACGCACACACACACGACACACACACCACACACACACACACACACACACAGACCACACACACGCACACACACACCACACAGCACACACCACACACACAGACATGCAACACACACACACACACACACCGTAGCAGAGTCAACCGTGCGTTGCGCAGTTCTCAACGGCACGTTGTATGGGCGGAGAGCACAGACGGCTCGAGCATGCGATTGTGAATGTTCACACGAGAGAACGTGTCCAATCGGGCGAAACTGCGCAACGCACTGTTGACTTCGCGCCGTCGTCCAAGATGCTGTCATGGGGTCTGCGCTTTGTGTCTCGATCACTAGCTCACATTATCCTCTCGCATCGTAACAATCACCATTAACCAAACCATCATTAGCTCCTTTTGCCAAGCCCTGGCCCCATTGTCGCGCTTTCGGGACGGGAAAATGGTACATCTGTGATATTCGTGGGCTACCCTATTCCACCTACGGTATAGATACTTCACCACTTCGACTGAGGTTATTGCTTTGAGACTGGAAAGCACAATGGAGAGAGCACGGACAGCAGCACATTGCGGATGGAAGGGGACGATGTAGTCTCATAACGTTAGTGCCTCTGTTGCGCATTTGAAAGGCAGGAAAACGGAATATCTTATCAGCTTCCACTATACTGAAGCTAGGCCTGGTATTCGGTATTTTATCGGTATCTATCGTCTTTTTGTCACTTTTCTTCTCCCATGTGCTGACCTCTTCCTTGTCAACTCGTATAATGTCTAAAATAATTGTGAGGGTGTAGTTCAGCTCTCGACTTTCAGCGAACTTTTTCTTTCTTTCTTTTCTCTCATGGTCAGCTATCGAGTTGCTGCTTCTTCATTTTCAATTTTGACCAACAACTGTTTATCGTAATTAGTGTCTCTAGAATAACTGGCCCTGATTTTGAGTAGCAAGGAGTTGGCAACGAGGACCCTACTAAGGCTCCACCTCAAAGCCTTCTTGTCTGTTACTGCACACTACTTTTTAGCAACCAATGCGATTCAGCTCTGTATTGATTTTTGATAATTTTTGAAATATGAAAGAATAATTTCAAGGAACGAGTGATGATGAGTCAATCAGTCCGTCT